AGGAGGGGTAAGATATACACAGGCATATACATATTAACAATAAACACTGCAGCGACCTCAGATGTTATGGAAAATACAGGTCGTCGTCAATTTACGATGACCATTGAGCCCAAAATTTATTTTGCTATTTTGCCCCATTTTATGACTTTTCTCACCACATTTTTTAAGTGAATCACTGCAATTCTTCAATTAGTAACACAGTTGTTAAGTGAATCTGGCTTCCCGATGATTTTGCTTGTCAGGAGGTCCTAAAAGGTGATCATATGATCCTGGGACATTGCAAACCGTCATAAATGTGTCAGTTGACACTGCAACCATCAGAAATGTGAGTCGATTGTCAAGCATCTGAATGTAAATCACGTGACCATGGGGATGCGGCAACGGTCATAAGTGTGAAAAATGGTCACGAGTCACTGTTTTCGGTGCTGTTGTAATTTTAATGGTCACTAAATGAACTGTTGTAAGTTGATGACAATCTGTATACAACCCCTTAAAGATCTTTTGACTTCCATGTGAATGATAGAGAAGAGAATTTCTACAATCTTCTATACAAAGAGTTTTTTTTTAAAAAAGGAAAGAACCTCTACAGTCTGATATGAATATTAGATTAGTAAGGATATAATAAGGCGAACTTAAGAGTCAAACCACGTCAGCTACTGGAAATGGAAAGCTTAGTTGTCTGCTTTTGTGTGATTTGGGCAGTTGTTAAGCAATTTACTTTACATGCCTTCATGCAGAAATATGATTGTGATTTGATTCAAAGCTGTACCATGCTAAATTACCTCTGCAGTCTTTTGATGCTATTCTTGCCTGTTCTATCCTGTAATAGGTGCATTTTAGTAAAAAAAGACAGATAATCTCAGATAATCATTAAAGGGAAGAAGGGAAGTCAAATGGGGAAAAAAAAATCCAAGTCTGCTCAATTTTTAAAAAAACTGAATAATGGTATAGCTAAAGCAGTCCAAAATAAATTTTTAAATATAGAGCAATAGCTTGTATCTCACAATAATATCCAGCAGGATCATACTGTCAATAATTTAAATCACAGAAATAATACAATTTCTACATCAATATTATATGCATGTTAAATGTACAAGACATATAATTTTGTAAGAAGATTCATCAGCCAAAATACTACAGCTTCTTCCAGGAGCAATCAGATATCTCTGAGAAGTCCAAACGTAGGACATATACAATATCACTCAAGTATAAAACAGCTGTTAATCAGGAGCAAGTTAAATACATATAATCAGAGTGAGTGAAAAGTATCCCTAGGCTTTATCAACCAAAGCTTATAGAATTTTGGTGTGGTACCGGGCAATGAATGAACACTCTAACTCAGTGGTGTCAAACTTATGTCATCACGGTGGCATCACGTGACATATCAGGAATTTTTCCCTCTTTGCTAAACCAGGCATGGGCATGGCCAGCGCGTGATACATCTGGCCGAGTGTTTGACAGCCCTGCTCTAACTGTTGCTTGAGTGTCCCGTTTCCCCCCCTCCCCACCATTATAGAGGGTGGGAGTGTAAAAAGAAGCAGGTTCTTTTAGTGTAGATATTAATTAGCATGTACGGTATGCTTATAAAAATAACTATTCCCTCGAACGTCTGTGTCAAAGATCCTTATGGAAGATATAAGAAACCTCTGATGAATAGGGCAAATATGGCCTACGTATGTTTCATCTGGCTAGGCAACTCCTCCTTCTCAAGTTGTGCTTCTATTGAAATTTCAAAACCCAAGTCCCACGAAACAGTAATTAAAGACTTTTATCTCCAATTACAGTTAAAAAACTCAGTATTCCAAAATGCCTCCCAACTGAGTGTTCACAACTCAAACAGAACAGATTTCAGACAATTTCTGTAGAATGATCTGAACAATTGCTCTACACCCCACCTGCTCACAGAAAAAGACATTTCTTCCATGAGAAGAAAAAGGTTGACGGGTGATTGCGAGTGCTCATTTTCTCAAGACTGCCCCTCCCTTTTTAATTTCCCCCTGCTTATATGCTCGTTCAGGTAGAAACTCTTAAATAGCTAAAAAATTCCCAATACAACAATTAGGTTTAAAACAGCTCAAATTAAATAAAACGCAATACACTTGGCAACCTCTAATCCATTTCAGGAAAAGCAAGATTCATATTCTCATTTTATTCCCAAATGATACATAGAAGAGTCAAATCTTGATTATCTTCTGAAGTACTTTAATTCCGGAGGTAGAAGAGGAGGGGCCATGATAGAAAAGCTCATCTCTAGCTCCCCTTTCATTGACGCTCCTGAGAAGCAGAGGCATACCTGAGCAAGCAACCTGATAGATAACTCGATCCAAAGCCATGAAAGTCATTACAGATCATAATCAGTATCTTGAATTGTATCCAGAAACTTATCAGTAACCAACTCAACTCCTACAATAGTAATCTCACATGGATAGGTAAAGCACTATTCATCAGCATGCATGCAGCTGTATTCTTCAGCTTTCAAATGGTCCTCCAGAGAAGCTCACTATACACTAAATTTCATTAATCTACATTAAACTGATGAAGGCATGAATGACTGCCAATGAAGACTTTTGTTCCAAAAAAGGCCCAAACAACACAAAACTAAAGCTGTGCAAAGGATCTCCTGTGACAGCCTCCATTTGCTTTTTCAATAGGAGGTATGATCCAGGAGAGCCCCAGAGTGTTAGGCTGCTCTATACACATTTTGTCTAGCATCGAAGATAAATTTCTTCTGGAATATGGAAGCTTCTGACTCAGTCTCTCCATTTACTTAGCGCTGAATCTAAGTGCGTTTCTCCTATCCAGACAATAACAGAGGTCACACAGAGAATCCTATAACGTGGGGAAAAGATGGCTGCAAAGTAAGATAGATAGATGGATAGTCTTTCAAATATTTTGTTATGAAAATTCTCTCCATTTTTTTTTTTTTGCCTGGATATTCCAATCTGTTACTTGGATCAATCTGGCTCAGCGCTCTAGATAACAAAGTGATGCTACTAAAAAGGGGGTAAAATGCACAACATTCACAAACAATAGCACAATTATGCTCCAATCTGTACAGCAGTCTGAAGTGAATAGATCGCATTCTTTTAAATTACAATGCCCCGGACAGATTTCCCTAAGAATCCCCCATCAGTTGATTGCGTCTAAGTGTCAAAATAGCTCCTTGATATACCATATGCAAAGAGTTTCACACATTCATCCATTTTATGACTTCTAGTCTAAAAATAATGGAGCAACTGGCCTGTGCATTCCTCATTTTATATTCACCAGAAATATAAATGGGAGCACTCTGCCTGTGTACCTAGTTTTCTATATACTTTTTTGATAAAGTAAACGAATGAAAATAACATGCTTGAGATTGTTCCATCAGGTGAGTCATTATGAAAACAAGGGTCTGTTAAATACTGTAGCACAAATAGCTATAGTCCATCATTTATTAGTGTACCTTATTTCCTCTTATATTCATTTTAAGATCAATTTTCTAATTTATATAAGATTACTTAGAAACTCAAGAAATTTCCATCATTTCATCTCTGTCATAGGTTTTATAGATGACTGAAATGGTTGGCTCCAAACTCAGTCATTTGGAAATATAATTTCTATCCCTAAAACACAATTTAAGAATGTTACAAATCATTTGGAAGCTTTGCCTCCCAGGAATGTTTTTAAGCCATATTAATAAATTATAAAAAAAATGAACAGTTAAATAAATGCATGTGAATGTGCATTTGATGTTATTTACCATTTCTTTTACTTGTTAAATATATAGGATACCTATCCTCCAGGGAGATCAAGACATGTATTAGCACTCCTTTATCCTGTTTTCCCACAATTAGGTTGATGTAGATTAAACGGAGAAAGTAGCCAATCTGTATAAATTTAATAAATAAATAAAATAATCCAGATTCCATGGCTAATAGACTTAAATCTAGGTCTCTCAAACAATCTGATTCTCATCCCAGTGTTGGAAAAGTAATCCATAAAGAATTTCCTTTATTTCAGCATGCACAACAGCAGTAAGTGAAATCTTCTTAGCAAAGCAATGATCTCAGCTCCATATATAAAATTAGTATACATTTAGGAAAATATTCAAAGAAAAGTCAGCAGATATTTAGGAAATTGGCATGAGGAAATGATATATATGGCTTGGGAATTTTTTTTTAGAAAAAATGGTATACATCAATAGAAGAGAATATTTGCCACTCTGGGTTGAATTGTGGGGTCCTTGGTACTCTCTGAGTTTGATTGTTTTCTTGCAATCATTTCTTGCAGATAATATTCTGATTAAGTTACCTAGTTTGGTAATGAAACATCTGCAAGAAAACAACCAAGCTCAGAGAGCCCAAGGACCACCAGTATCTACCAAGGGAGGAAAGCAAAATGGGAATGTTTCAAAGGCAGCATAAAAAAATACACATACTAAGGGACACCTTTGTTATGTGAATTTTATCCATAATCTAATGATGGTCATGGATGTTCCATGCTGATCCTCATTTGCTTGTGCTTGCTGAGGAGTCATGAAATTAAGCAACAAATGGGCATATGCAACAACTGAGCCAGATATGGTTAATAATGACTTGATGGGCCCCTATTCTACATCATACAATTTTCAGAAACTCACAGCTTCATGTGATGTGTTGCGTAGTGTGACAAAAACATGGCACTAAAACCGAAGGATAAAATTCATCTCAAATCAATCCATGAATAGAAGGTTTCACTCAGCAGAACAGAAAGTAAGAGAATTCCTTATTCAATGGGAATCCATAAACAGCCGAGAAAAAGGAAGCTGAATTTTAAGTGAATTTGCCCTGATTCAGTTTTGCTGGATGAAGCCCTCCATTGAAGAAGCTTTTCCATTTGGATTGTCTGCCTAATGTCAAGACAAAGTGAAAGATTTCATTTAAGTTAAACAAAATTAAAACATCCCTATCTTAAACGTTAATATTTTTTTACAGAAAATCTGCCGGTTATTACAAAAGGAAATAAAATGGAAAAATTACCCTAAAAGACATTTCAAGATTCTCTCCACCCCAGATATCCATTCCTGCATCGTATGTTCCTATCTCTTCAAAGTAGTTTCTGTCAATAGAAAATAAGCCACCAGCCATAGTAGGGGTCCTAGTTGAAAACAAAAGAAAAAGAAAAAAATGGAAAAGAAAAATATTTTTTGAAAGATATTTTGTGGAATTGAATAAGTGATACTATAGCATATATCCTCCAAATATATATATATAGACAGAATTATATTTCATTTATTAGAAATTGAAGGTGTAGTATTAAATAATGTTGAACATTTTCATTCTCTGCTTGTGGAATTTCAGCCTGTACTCAAATAGTAGCCAATTGATGCACGCATGTAAACTTCTAAAATATTATTATGTCATTTAAAGCATAGTAATATAATGTAAGAAAGGGAATACTGCATTTTTAAGTAAAAGCTAAACTTTTAAAAGTGTTGATGAACTACCAAGAGCACAATTTTTATAAGCTTATAAATGTCTTGAGGGGGGGGATCAAACCCAAGTAATAATCATGTATATAGAACTACCAATAACCCAGTGCCCGAAAATGTTCATTATTCTTTTTAAAACATTTATATTTAATTTCTTTAAAATCCCTTTAGAAATGTATACACTGTAACAAATACACTGGCTTCACATTAGGACTCCATTACTGAGGCATTAGAATAAGGAACCTGCTGTATTCCATTTGATTGGTTTGATTGCTTCATTCTTTTGAATGGTAAAATATACATTCTAAACTCATAACTGCACAGCAGAAGATGCAACTAAGTGCTTTTTGTCAGCTGATTTTTTATTGAATTCTATTGATTTATCAAACTATATCATGCACAAAATTTGATGAAGCAGCATGTTAGAATTTTTTGCTATGATATAGAGAGAATTTGCTAAATATTAATTGTGAAAAGAAGTAGG